CGGGCTGCTGCGTGTCTCGGCATTTGGTGTAGACGGACACTGATGACTTCGGGAGGTCTCATGTTGTCGGACGCTGCTGCCGTGTCTCGCTATTTTGGTGAGACGGCAACTGATGGACTTCGGGAGTCTCATGTTGTCGGACGGCTGCTGCCGTGTCTCGCATTTGGTGTAGACGGGCCTGATGGACTTCGGGAGTGTGACGTCTGGAAGCTTTAGCGTTTGCTGTAGCTTTCGGTGATTTGCGTGCAATGTGGGGACGCTTAGGGGGCATCGTGTATAGTTGTATGGCGTACGACCTGTAGAGACAGAATAGGGATAGCTTATTAAGCCTTTGGCTGCTGGATATTATCGGAAGACCTCGGCCCGACTGTGTGCACATGGATATTGTCTACGTGACTGCGGGCGCACAACGATGCACATTGAAATTAAGGAATTTTCCTACTGAATCAGAAAAGGCATAGCTTTGGAATGGTAGAATGCATTGTGAGATCGTACGATGAATAAAAGGAATTCGATATATAGTATAGATAGAGAAAGGCGAGCAAGTGGGGTGTGTGTGTCTACTGGATATTGTGTAGTGAATGCTTGGCGCGCAACGATGGACATGGAAATTAAGGAATGTTTCTACTGAATGAGAAAAGGCATAGCTTTGGAATGGTAGAATGGATTGTGAGATGGTAGCATGAATAAAAACAATTGCATGTTATATAGTATACAGACAGGCCAGCGAGTGGAGTGTGTGTGCACTGGATATTTTTCCTAGTGAATGATTAGTATACAGACAGGCAAGCCGTAGCCAGCTTTATGTGGGGGGGGTTCGTTTTTCAATGTTAGCAATTTGCTCCGGCAGCGGTGTGTGCTACAGGATTTGTACACCAGGGGGGGTGTACCGTACCAAAGGTAGAGCACACGCGAAAGGAGGGGGTGTCGGGGGGCGCCCTCCCCAGGAATTTTTTTAAAAATTACACCCCCTCGATGCGTTTTCTGCGCGGAGAAAACAAGGGGGTCTGGACTCCCAGGACCCCCCTGTACACCCCCCTGCTGGGTCGCGAAAGCGACCAGCGAGGGAGCAAGCGACCGAGCGGAGGGGAGGGTGTGGGAGGGGGGTGTTCCACTGTCTCACGCCTGCCCGCACGATGGAGATTTTGCATATTACACTAAAATGGAGCGACATGAGGTGAAATTCATGCAAAATTTTCAACAAAATTTTTTTTGCCTTTGGGGGTAGGTCGGGGCGGGTTCGTTCGAACCCCCCGAACCCCTCCTGGCTTACCGGCGCCTGACAGGCGAGCGAGTGGTGGTCGGCGTCGCCTAGCCTCCGGCTTACGGCATCCGGGCATGCACTGACACAGTATCTCGCGACCTCGCGTACACGCATGATTGACGCAACGCGGATAATGTGTTCTTTCTCTCTCTGTCCACCACACACACCACACACACACACACACACACACACACACACACACACACACCACACACATACACACACAACCTCTCTTCGCTTCTCTCACACAGCATCAGACGCAACACACACACACACACACACACACACACACACACACACACACACCACACACACAGACACACACACCACACACCACACACACAGACACGCGCGCACACACACACACACACACACACAACACACACACACACCACACACACACCTCTCTCGCTCTCTTCTGACACAACACAGACACACAGACTGACAACACACACACAACACACGACACACACACACACACACAACACAACACACGGTGCAAACACACTGCACACGCACGCACGCACGCACGACACGCACCGCACGGCACGCACACACACACGCACACACGACGGCGAATTGAGCAGGCACGAGCGTGCACGTTGCGCAGGGAATTTGCTACTGAATGAGATAAAGGCATAGCTTTGAATGGTGCAATCTTGCCGAGATCGTAGGATGAATAACAACATTGCATAAATAGTAAACGGACAAGGCAGCGAGTGGCGGAAATATTTGAATTTAGCAAAAGAATTACTCACTTGTACGCAAGTTCTAACCTCAGGTGTAGTTAGGTTAACTGTACAGTCCCTCCAACCTCTAACGCGTTTGAGTCTGTCTGCTTTCTGCTGAACTGTTTTGACTGTGTGGTTAGTTTTAGTATATGGTTTGGTTTCACATTAGCAGCAGGCTGGTTGGAGGTAGGAGAAATTGAAATGACTCAATCCTCCTTGGTTGGGTCGTGTTTTAGTAATTGCTTTCGTTCACAATACACAGCAATGATCGATGGAGAGAAATATTAGTCATGGAATTTTTCTCTGTGTGCAGCACTGTGGCAAGTGAGTGGCTGAATTGTGTGAAGAATTGACGAATTAACGGCTTTTCACGGATTTTCGGTGAAGTTTGACGCGTTTGGCAGGTTTTTTCAAGCTACGAACACTCCCCGGGTAAAAGAGATGGCCCTGTGGAAAATTGAATCCAGATCGCTTGGGCGGTTTGCCGCCTATAGCCGGAAGATACCATACCATACATTACATACTACATACGAACCTCAATATATATTAGACTAGCTGCGGTACCGCTGCGCTGGTAAATATCGTGCTACTAATTCATACTACTAAATAATTGGAACACAATAGAGAACTTTGGGTAAAAATCAGACAATACCAACATTGGCACACATACAATATTTAGAATCAGTTGTAATAAAATAATAAGCATGGGGAAAAACTGTTACGTATGACATCTTATAGACAGCAGAACCGAATTAGAACCCGCGAAACATAATAGTAATATTGGTGCCACATGATGAAAAAGTTATTTATAACAGCATGTACGAATGGTGTTCAGTTTTCATTTGAAAACCTCTTGAAACAACAATGTTTGCGTGTATTGTTTGTGGGCTGGAAATATGTAGAGATTGCTGGCGATCTCGAACTGTGAGGCTACCACGTACAGCGTATCCATTGGTCAGATCGTCAGCATGAATATACGAAATTGGGTATATAGTATAGAAGAGACAGGCCAGCGAGTGGGTCTGTGTCATTGGATATTGTATAGTGAACCGTTGCGCGCAACCAATGCACATTGAAATGAAAGGAATTTCTCTCACTGAAATCAGAAAAGATAGCTTTCGAATGTGGTTACATGGACTTCTAAAAGTCGTAGCATGAATAAAAAAAGTCGATATTAGTATACAACAGGCCAGGCGAGTGGGTGGAAATTTGTAATTACAAAAGAATGTTACTCACTTGGTACGCGTCTTTATGCCGTTGATGTCTTTGAGCAATCGTAACCTCTCAAACTATATAATACTCATACTAAACTATAGTGATCTCTAATAAAAATTTACAAATCAGTGCTAATCATATAATAAGCATGCGTAAAAAAACGGTTACGTATGGACTTTAATGACAGCACAACCGCAACGAGACCCCTGTGAACATATAGTAATATGTCGTAAATAAGAACAAAGTTATATGTAACACATGGTACGAATGGGTTGCACATTCTCTTTCATTCCTCTTTGATAAAACAAATGCAGTCGGGTAACCACAGCACTTGAAGCTTTCAACTGTAAACACACGCCCGCCATTGCGCGCACACTGACACATAAAATATACCTGGTTTGCTCTGTTTTAGTACTTCGTTTCGGTTTCACAAATACCAGCAGCCGGATGAGATGAGGAAATCGTTTTTCTCTCTGCGTGGCAAGCCACTGTACAGTCAAGTGCATGATAATGTGTGAAAGATGACGAATTGAGGGGTTTTTCACGAATTTTGCGTGAGTTTGACGGTTTTGGCAGTTTATTTTCAGCTAAGAACACTCCGCGGGCTATAACGATTCGCCGTAAAATGCATCCAGATCGCTTGGGCGGTTTGGCCGCCTATAGTGGTTTTTTTTTTCTTTTCATATTTTCTATTTTTTTTGAAATACATACATACTACATAATAGCATACATACATACATACGACGAACTCAATATATATTAGATGCTCACCTGGTGCCCGCGCTGCCGCGCGATACAGCTGAAGCTGATTCACCACTGTTGCAGTTTCAGTTTCTAGTTTCAGTTTTAGTATCACATAGATATATAACGGCCAATTAATGCACGGCCAGGAGGTAATTGTGTATTCCCAGCTACCTCTGTCGCCTTCGCGGGAGGGTATTCAGTACTCAGCGGTTGACATTGTTACGGCACAGAGGGCTGCACTGTCGAGCGTGAAAAACATGCCGTCTTCTGTTACTCAAGAAAAACATAGAAGATTAAATCACTGTCATATAATACATATATAATGAATTAAAACCATCAAATTGTTACTATATATGCATGGTATACACTTCCAAGTACGTATTGGGAAAAATTTGCAATACGGTTTTTTGTCCGTATTGCAATATATTGCAATGACGGTTTTTGTCGCCAATACTTCACCCCTAGGGCCCGTTCACACATTTAACGTATTCGCGCTGATATGGGGTATTATAAGCTCTTGATTATGTTACGTTGTCAATTCCTCAAATGTTGGAAAATTCTCACGGATTCTGTACAAATTATATCTTATGATGTAACTAGCTAGACTGATATGAATAATATCGCTAAACGGCTAAAGGAAAAGCTGATTTTGATAATGCTACTACTTGATATCTATATATAACACCACACTTAGTCATGATCCATTTAAATAAACTATGAAAGTGATGAATCTAATAAACTGATCTTACAGCCTATCTTGCATTGTCTTCATAAAACAAAATCGTTATATTTTCATAATGCAAAATACATGGTTTACACATAATTCATAACAATTTCAATACGTTTGCAAACAGCTTGGTGGGTCTCCTTGAAATGTATTCTGCATACTTATGTTTTATGAAGTTCCCTGCACCAAGTTTTCTGTTTAATTAGTAAACTGCTTCCTGGATTTTTGTTATAAAAAAAAAAAAAAAAAAAAAATTAAAATAAAAATTTTATAAACAACCGCTGCTAAGCTTTTGTGTAGACATTTTATAGTAATCCCCTATTATTAACGCAAGATAAACAGAAATTTTAAATGGAGGATATTTCATATGTATGGGTCTCAACCATGGTCTCAACTCATAGTACGATAACTTAATGGAATGTTTCCAAAACCGGCGCACTCGCATAACATTCAATAACATAATTCACGCTAGATGGCAGCACTTGACAGTGAAAGCTTTCCAACATCATAGACTGGTCATTTGGAGCAGTTCGCACACTTGCTGCATGGTATCAGCTGGACTGGTCACAGAATGACCAATCGTCCTTTCATCCGCGAAAATCTCGTAATCGTTTTCGCCCTGAAATGCAAAAAAAGTGTCAAAAATGCTTTTTCTGTGTCTAGATCTCACATCCCCAATGCTATTGCAGGCAAAATAAGAAGACGGATAGTCCAACAAAGATACTGAATATGGCACCAACACCTTACCATGCATGCTACGAGGGCAACTTAACAAACATGTAACGAGATTTGCATTTACTTTCTACTAGAGACAGTAGACTGCTTAGAAAATTGCACATTTACGGGAATGGTTTTGTCTCCGAAGAAGTGAATCGTTTTGAAACCATCTTGGAGCACGTGTCTCAAGCAGTAGGTCTTGTCCCAGCCTTTAGGAAACACGTCAAAACTTATCTGTCCCCCTGCACAGAAAAACAAAGAGTTAAACAATTACATGTGCTGGCTACTATCTATTTAGAAGGGTCGGTTGTTGTCCAGGCAGCATTAGCATCACATTGCCTTTCAGCAGGTGATAAAAACGTCTAGCAAACACTTCTATTGAAGTATGCAGAGACTTTGTTTACCTATGGAATACTGCAATCCAAAGTCTGCAAATTCTTTTCGTAAGGCCATCACAAATTTTTCCCTCACTTTATGTTCCTGGAGAAGAAGTAAAGGCTTATCATGGATCAACATGGTCATAAAAGTTGTTCCTAATATCGCTACATCGTGTTAATAAACGCATACTTCTTACCTGATTTTATTGACTAGCTCAAAAAATCACCTTGCCAAATTAACATAGCAAGAATTAACATACAATTGAACCCACTGAACAATAAGTGCAACATACAACAATACAACATCCTAAATGCGGCTGGATGTAATTTTTGCTTCCCGATTTTGTACAACTATATTTCAATGTCTGGGAAAGTACAATTTTATAACATGACAATTATACCAGGCTACAAGTATAATTTTCCCATTTTCACAATAAAACATATGAGCCCAACCAAAGAAACCTTTTAGATCACATTTTTGCAGTATGGTGTCACCTCCTAGGTATTATCACATTTTATGGACTATGTAACAAATTACCTGGTTGTATGCGTTGAATTGCTCTCTCTCAGCCTGTGAGCAGCTCCTTCCCACTGGACTTACATTGATTAGACCACTCCTGAATTCTATGAAGGTACCCCTGTGCAAATACTACCATGTCATAATCATATACTGTGCATATGTACACGGTATATATGCTTAATACATTATACTCTAATATGCATGTGAGGTTTTACATTTCAATGTGGAATGTATCGGTGTATCGGTAATGCTCGGAAGCACGCACGTACCTTTTCAATGTGGAATGTATCGGTGTATCGGTAATGTCGTTACGGCTGTCACGTTCCTTTTTCACGGGCCAGTGTAGGTCCGCCTATTGATATTCGTTAGAGAGAATGTTAATGAATCGCTGCAATTTTTCATTTTCCCTTCATTCTGTGATGCTCTTATGGCAAAGGACCCCTGCCTATTACATGATTTATTTAACTTATGCGGCGAATGTAATATTAAGACTTTACAATTTCGGCTTTAAAGTGATAACCGCCACGTAAATAGTTAAGAATTAATAAAAAAAATTAGTTTTCCACTTTTTCAAAATATAAGTAATTCTCGTTTCTCATTTTCATGGCGTTTAACATTGGCTGCATCTATACTTCTATATATTTACATTATTGTTCGATGTGAAGCAATCACAACTGCGTGACGCTAATAGCCATTACAGCACTTTAATTGTTCAGGGAATATATCAAATCGTCCAGGCATTTTTAACTGTTGGACACAATCTTATACGGGTAGATCTAGTACGTTACGTAGGTACGTCACGGTTACGTTTATTTCCCGTTGATTTTTATTTTTATTGGTTAAAAAATAGGCAAGCAAAATTTTACAAATTTTACCCTGTCTTAGAAATTTCGTGACATAGTCAATTTAACTAGTAAATATACATGAAGCATTTCACGCACTGCACAACACCCAAAACCTCCTGCAGTTCTTGATTTCAGGCATAACAAAACTTCTGCCTTTGGAATTAATAGTCAAGGAAAGCATTTAAGCCAATATTAGTATTTCTCCACTGGTAAATTTCTGAAGCTTGAAAATGGACTCTGCGCATTCATTACAGACGTGGCTGGAATAGTCACACAATGAGTCTCTATCTATTGAATGCTATTGCAGCTTGTTGGCCAAAAACAACTGTGGTTTTCCGGTTTCCCGACCCTAGCTTAGTTCTTTTACCCCGTACCCTTCAACTTTTTTACTTCGATATTTTTCAAATAAAATTTGAAATGAAAATCCGGATAGAAATGGTAAAGTTGACACCCCATCGCACCCGCTGTGGCGCGATGGCATTTATAGGGGCTGCCATGGGAGAGAAAACTCGCGCAAGACCCGTGAGAATACCGCCGAAGTGTCACGCGAGATGTCGCACGGCTGTAACAAGACAATAATGGCTTTTTAACACGATTACAAAAAAATTGGGAAAAAATAGTTTAAGCCTAACTACCCTACCTATTTTTATACAGACATGAAATCGGAACACAGTGTTGTTTTCTTTTGGAGGCGTTATAGAAATGCACTATGAGAACAGTGAATGCACTAAGGCCTAACATACTGTTTTATGGAATGAGCTGCTCCATTCTTATTGAGCTACTATTCCATTTCAGAAACATATTTGTTGCTTGATGCACAATGAATACAAAAGGTATAGTTATGCTATGTGCCTTCATATATTTCAGAGACTCTGGTGTTACCTGTTAGCTAAAGTGCCTTATTTTTACGTAGGAATTAGCCCAAGTAGATTTATATATCTGATTAAATCCAACGGTCCTTTTCCCTATAACAAGTATTTCTAATATGGATCTATTCAACTAGGATACTTATAACCTATTGGAACACACGCACGCATTCATCTTTATGGGTTTGATTGGCAGCACATGTTATGCTTTCATGACAACAAGTTTGTTGGTTGGCTTCTTACAGGATCAACATTACATCAAAATTCACAATTCCAAATGTTACAAAGTTGAAGAGCAATTTTTTGTTTTAATAGTATATTAATGACGTTGATGCTCTACTAGATATTATATTTCAAGAAGAGACGAGTCAATTCAATATCACTATCGATGAATTTGTGGCTTAAACGATAAAGAGGATGTCAGTAATAACTATCTATCCTATCACCGTCCAGGACATTAATTATTCCTATTTCTTTTGAAGCCACATATAGTTTGCTGTTGCCATTTTTGGTATATTACCAATTCTCTGGATCCATTTTGTTCAGAATTCTCTGTGAGAGGTCCAGAGCCACAAGTCAATTTTATTTTTTCACTCTTTTTCAGAGTCTTTCGTTTTTGGGAGTAATTTCTAAATAATTTTTTTTTTTTATATACACAAGGATAAAGAATTATGTCCTGCTGGACGACTGAACGTATTGCTGTGCGTCCTTGAATCGTAGGTCATTGATAGGGCTTATGTAGGGCAATACAATGACTTAACGTTCAAGGGACTTTCAGCAGTCGTGTTCGTCTGTCGCAGTACTTTGACTAGGTTGTCACATTACGCTCATGATAAGGTCTATTGTTCCCCAGGGCATACTGACGCGAAGTACCTGGGTACAGTCCGGTCGGGGCAAACTTACCGGAGTAGGGTACCCTGGGTAGGCCCAAAGTTACCAATTCTCGGCTTTAACATACCGTCGATGTAACGTCGAACCAAGGAGCCTGGCGGTTTAGGTCCAAGGCTGGGGTTTGTAACTATTTGATATGGTTAGGGTTAGGGTTCGGGTTCAGGTTAGGGCTAGGGAGTAGGCGACTCCCTAGACTCGTTAGTGGAGTAGGCGAGGTACGGTCCGGCATATTAGATAGTACCAGGGTACGTTCCGGTATACCGGACCGTACCCAGGGTAAGTTCCGGCACTGGCCTGGCAGTACCCTGGGGGATATAGACCCTCTCAGCGTCAGCTACTGATAGTGATACTGACAATCTGTGGATTCAAACATAACGTTATAACTCCTACCTTTCTGGGCAAGGTCAACGTCCCATCAATGTCAAAAAGTAAAATCGTAGAGCCATCACCTCCAGCCATTATATTTTAGGTAAAGACACTGAAGAGAACCTAATCAGAACCTCATTAAACTGGAAAAATGACTAGTATAACATTAAGTTTAACAGTTGTTACGTGGAGGCAATCGGAAAACCCATTCGACTCTTCCCGTCATGCCTAGAAAACAGTGACGTGGAGGCTGCCATAATATTCATAGATATCATATAAGTTGTTATATGATATCGGAGCACATAAATCACCTGATGATGTGCTCTGATGATATCTTAACCTGTATGATACAGGCGGTTCCGGTTCCGCTTCACTACACTTCACTACGCTCTCATGCGTTGCACGTGCGCTCTCATGCTTGCAGCTTGCGAGCAAGATGTCTTTACACTATAACGTAAGTTAAACATGACAGCAAACTTAAATAGTTATATGCATGGAGCTATTTTTTTTATTCATAGTACTTATCAACTTACTGCATGCCAATTAAATAACATTTCTTGTTCGATAAAAGATTGTGATGGTAATTATGATAAAGGTTGTAAGAATGGAAATTCTAGAGGATGACAATGCCTTAACTAGGCTTCAGAATAGGCTAATGATGTGGAAAAATGTAAATAGTTGATAGAATTTCTTCGAGCCCAGTTTTTTACTGTTTTCTAAATGAATAATTGCTCACAGTCACTATATAACTTCTATTGTAGATCCTAACGCCACGTAAGATAAGGACACTCCTCAAGGATGTCGGGCATGACTGCAGTTTAGCAGGAATCCTGAACTCTGAGCTGAGAGTTTTGAAGACACTGGACTATCGTATTTGCTGCAACACACCCCTGCTGCATGTCGACACCCTGCTAGCCATGTTAGGTACCTATAATAATAATAATATTATTATTATTATTAAATGCAGGCTCGTAGCCGGGGGATGTCAGAGTGGTGAAATGAATATTTCTGTCCTAATAACCGGTTGTCTGCTTTTTCGTGCCAGTTATCCGAAATCTAAACATGTCCAAAACTAGACAGGCCCACCTTCTAATTAGAAAACACTTGACTCTCCTGGGATGCTTGCTACGGACCTGATATGCCTCGATTATTTAAATAACTATAATACAAACGAATAATACTATAGATGATATAATCATACGATAATAATATAATGATATAATGATAATAATATGAATGAACAAACATTCAAAACCACTAAAATGCGTATGTTTTGTCGCCGCAGATATACCTAGTTCGTATATATCCCTATAATCCCTCGTAAACCTAACCCTAACCCTAACCCTAACTGCCTGATGTTAACAGATCTGTATGTTGTCATTGCAGACAGATTCGTTGCATCACTAAAGCTTGATGAGTTGCGACGTGTTTCCATCAAGCTGCTAGATGCTGCCTACTTGCAGCAGACAGAGCTCTATAACATTCTATTCATTGCCGCGACTGGAAGCTCCGTCCAATCAAAAGAGGACAGGTGAGAGAGTAGGCACGACAGGTGAGAGAGTTGGCACGACAGGTGAGAGAGCAGTCAGGACAGGTGAGAGAGCAGTCAGGACAGGTGAGAGAGCAGTCAGGACAGGTGAGAGAGCAGTCAGGACAGGTGAGAGAGCAGCGAACTTTCCCTCGACGCATACGTACACGCTGCCCTGCAACGTTCAGCACTAATTCTCACAGTTTCACTTTGCTGAGGCTTCCCGAACATCGTTTCCTTCGCCGCTGCCACCATGTTAAGTATTGACGAAGGAGTGTGTAACTCATAAAGACGTTTTTATTACTGGAGCTGATACATGTTCTGCTAGCAGCCATACGAACCGGCCAACAAGGCGCGCGGTATCAATCGCCTCTGACCCACAACAAGGCTTCTACAAAACAACACGTGCATGCGCACAGTAGGTAGTCCTACTATACAGTCTCAACCATGCGTCTCAACTCATAGTACGATAACTTAATGGAATGTTTCCAAAACCGCGCACTCGCATAACATTCAATACATAATTTACGCTAAGATGGCAGCACTTGACAGTTCAAAAGCTTTCCAACATCATAGACTGGTCATTTTGGAGCAGTCACACACTTGCTGCATGGTATCAGCTTGAGCTGGTCACAGAATGACCAATCGATCCTTTCATCGCGGAAAATCTCGTAATCGTTTTCGCCCTGAAATGCCAAAAAAAAAGTGTCAAAAATGCTTTTTCTGTGTCTACATCTCACATCAATGCTATTGCAGGCAAAATAGAGACGGATAGTCCAACAAAGACACTGAACTTATGGCACCAACAACTTACCATGCATGCTACGAGGGAACTTAACAAACATATAACTCAGATGAGACGGGATACTACGAGAAGCGTTGCCGAAAGGAGGTGTGATCCCAAGCGCTATAAGCGCAGATGTTGCGCCGCAACTTCCGCGGCAAGGCGCACGCGACCGCGGGAACGTCCTACGACAGTATGCAGCGCTGGCAGCTATGGATCCGTGCGCCGAATCAATTGGGCGGGCCGCGCACGGATCCATAGCTGCCAGCGAACAGTCCGCAATTTTAGTGGGGGACACAGAGGGTAGACATTTGGGACATCGTGAACAGTGTTCACTTGTTATAAAAACTGTAATCGAGTAATCTGTTCGTAACCGAGCTGTGTCACGCGAAATCACAGAAGAAGAATTGCGAAATTCTGACATTCGGGAACCTTGCCCAGTATGGAAACGGCTGTCAGAATCAGGAAACACCTACCGGCGCTCTTCGCCGCCCCAACGCTGCAACGTTTTTGCAACGTTCAATGGCGAGGCTCGTACGGGAGTTGGAAAGCAGCTAGTGCGCCGCCTGCCCGCCGCCTATAGCCCATAGACTGGCACTCTCTCGCACCTCTCGGCTTAGCTTAGTCACTCAATGGCTAATCGCGAGGTGGGAGCGAGTCCTAGTCTATATATAGCCTTTGCACCTCGAAAACCTTCTTGAAACAGAGTTGGCCTATACTAGAAACATTAACAATTTCGTAGTAAATAAGATTTCGTATTTAGTTAGCATTATATTTTATTGAAACGCTTCAAGTGCCTGTGTCTAGTATAGCTAGGCGGTATTCTAACCCTAGCAAAGAGCCGTTTCTTGCATTAGTCGTAGTAGTCTAGTAGTACTAGTGGTTCAAGGATAGAGAACATGGCTCCCAATATTATATGGGCCCCAATGTATGGGCATGGGGAATAAAACACACAATGTCATTTACATCAATATAAATCTAATATTATATCATATAATAGGTTTAGGTTCGTCATTATTAGTTAAGTTAATTACTAGTAACAGAGTTAGTCATTATTACTATTACTATTACTATTAGCTCGTAGCGTCCTGGTAGTTACTAGTACTAGTACTAGGTAACTTAGTAGTACTACTACTACTAGTAGTAGTACTTAGTAGTAATTATTGTAACATGTACTTGTGTAGTATACAAGTATTCCTAGCCGTAGGTGTGGAATGTAATAGCAGTCTTAATGTGCCGCTAGTCTGAGTCTAAACAAACTGAACATCGTCACAATCATAATGGCAAACATCAGAACATCAGATTGGAGCTTATCGCTCAAAGTTCATGCGGCAGTGACGAGCAGGGCTAGACGGCTACCGACCTTCACTCAGCGAACTATCGTTGGCTACACTGAAGTGAGTTACGCTAGCGTGTCGCGCCGCGCGGCAGTCTAGGTCATGCAGCCGAGCGTTTTTTTTAAAAAAACTTGAAAATGCTACGTAGATGGACTCGTAGCGCCATCTGATGGTGGCGATAACTTCCAAATTAATGTCAGGCATAAATCAGCGAAAAGAGGAAAATTATTTTTATACACGCAAAAGCACGCGCCGCCGAGCCACAAAGCAACAAAAAACGAGTATTTTGGATTTTTTCTGCCCTACGTGCAAAGCCGAAAGACTTCTGCAATGGCCAGAACTGCTGAATTGACCGATTCTTACGGCTTTATCCTATACCTAAAAGGCCTCGTGAAAAAGTATTCTAATATAGGGCAGCGAGTTGTCCATAGATGGCGCCACAGGTGGCGCTGTTCGCGCTTCGCGCGTTTATCCCGGCTGCAGTTGTCGAGATTTTTATTTAGCTTTCTACTAGAGACAGTAGACTGCTTAGAAAATTGCACATTTACTGGAAATGGTTTTGTCTCCGAAGAAGTGAATCGTTTTGAAACCATCTTGGAGCACGTGTCTCAAGCAGTAGGTCTTGTCCAGCCTTTAGGAACACGTCAAAAATTATCTGCTCCCCCCTGCACAGAAAACAAAAGAGTTAAACAATTACATGTGCTGGCTACTTATCTATTTAGAAGGGTCGGTTGTTGTCCAGCACGCATTAGCATCACATTGCCTTTCAGCAGGTGATAAAAAAAGTCTAGCAAACAACTTTCTATTGAATGTATGCAGAGACTTTGTTTACCTATGAATACTGCAATCCAAAGTCTGCAAATCTCTTTCGTAAGGCCATCACAAATTTTTCTCCTCACTTTATGTTCCTGGAAAGAAGTAAAGGCTTATCATGGATCAACATTGTCATAAAAGTGTTACTAACATTGCTACAATGTGTTAATAAACGCATACTTCTTACCTCATTTTATTGACTAGCTCAAAAAATCACCTTTGCCAAATTAACATAGCAAGATTAACATACAAATTGAACCCACTGAACAATAAGTGCAACATACAACAATACAACATCCTTAAATGCGGCTGTGATGTAATTTTTTTCCAGCGCGGATTTTG